GTGTGGGGAGGGTCATTTGCAAGGTCCAGTTGTCATCTCCCAGTTTTAGCCCGTATGTGCTGTGTTCTTGCGCTCATGCTTAGGCCGAGAGGTACACGCGTGTCTGGGTGTGTGGGTGGCCGCATATGGTCTCATCCACACATAGATATACTTGAATCAAAGCACCCACAGACATGAATATGTATATATATTTATACACATTCGCACAGTCACATGTACCTGCACATACGCTCGTGCAACCACTTAAATACTCATTTGTATGCATGCATACACACCACATATATATGCCTCTCCATATCTATATGCTCTTGTGGACTCTGACATCTGCACGTGAACTCTCTGAGCAGCTGGAAGAATGGGCTCTCCGTGCCTCTAACACCCCGTCTATGATCAAACATTTGCTGGGTAGAGGCATTGCACAATGCTGCTGAAATCGTTGCGGCCCTTTCTAGTCTTGCAGCTCCGATCTCTACGTGACAAGAATAAAACCTTTTGTGCAGCATGGGGCTTGATGGAGCCCTTATCTCCGTGTCTCCGCACTCAGAATAGAAAAATCCATTTCCACATCTGACTGGAACAAATCCCCCTGAACGCAGCCAGAATTTCACTTAGCCACTCTGCACAGACCCGGTGGCCTCTGGGTTGCCCAGAGTCAACCACACCATCGTTAGGAGAGGGATCACAAGGGCAGTCAGGTTAATGCTGTTACCACAGAGAAAGCTGGAGATTCACCAGGAGGGAGACAGAGCTGAGGAGAGCAGCAGGAGTGAGGAGGCGGCGAGGTACCGTCTGTCATTCCAAACATCTGCTCCTACGAAAACCAGCCTTTTAATCAATGGTGATACTTTGCAGAATTTTGTAGTGCTTATTTTCTCTTCATGAATTTCAGTTAGAAAAATACCTTTTTTTTCCCTTCTCCAGTCTTATTTTTGGTTCATCTCCATTTTTTCCCTCAGTTTGTCACTGAAAAATAGGATGCGGCGTAGGGGGGAGAAGAAAACACAAGGCAGAACAATAGGATACTTGTGACTCTTTTCTTTTAAACTCCTGTTTAAACTAAAGACCTCCAGTTGTCTGCAGGTCTCCCTGGAAAACATTTTATTTTCCCCAGCAGGCTCTCCTGCAGAGCTGCCTTGCTGGTGAGCTCAGACTCCATGTATCAAAATGATGTCTCTTTGGCATGCTTGCTCGGTGCTGGCATTGCAGTGCTTGGGCTCTTCAGAGATGTAGGTATTTTAAGAAGCCAACCAGTTGGTGGAGTTTCTTGAGTGGTGACTTGCAGCAGATGGAGCTGCAAACGCGTGTGAAATGAAGTCTCAGCTCAATTTAGTGGTGAAGGAGAGTGTCTCTGTCAAGCGTATTGGCAGCCAGGGAACTCCCCCGTCTCCCCAAGGCAGCTGGGCAGCTGCTCTGTGGAGAAGGAAACCCTTCCTATATCTGCCCCCTACCCATCTGAGCTGCCTCATGCAAGGTCCTCATTCCCTGTCAGATGCCTTCTCCAGTACCTGGTTGTCAGCCACAAACAGCACTACATGTTCCCTAGGTAATACCATTTTTTCAGCTCTGGGGTCCCCAACACAAGAAGGACATGGAGCTGTTTGAGCAGGTCCAGAGGAGGGTGACAAAAATGATTCGAGGGCTGGAGCACCTCTCCTATGAAGACAGGCTGAGAGAATTGGGGTTGTTCAGTCTGGAGAAGGCTCCGGGGAGATCTTTGAGCAGTCTTCCAGTACCTAAAGGGGGCCTATGAGAAAGCTGGAGAGGGGCTCTATACAAGGGCGTGTAGTGATAGGAGAAGGGGCAATGGCTTTAAAATGAAAGAGGGGAGATTTAGATTAGATATAAGGAAGAAATTTTCTACAATGAGGGTGGTGAAACACTGGAGCAGTTTTCCCAGAGGAGTTGTGAATGCCCCATCCCTGGAGTTGTTCAGGGCCAGGTTGGATGAGGCTTTAAGCAACCTGGTCTAGTGGAAGATGTCCCTGACCATGGCAGATGGCAAAAAAAATGATCTTTAAGGTCCCTTCCAACCCAAACCATTCTATGATTCAATGATTGATTCTATGATTCTATTTCTCCTCTGTCCTACAGTGATTGCTGTGCCAGTGGTGCCCAGAATTCACCTTGCCCTGCTCCTCACTGCAAGAGGAGCAACAGGGACCTCCATTTAAAGTGCTACATTGTCTATCTAGTTGACTACTCAGTAGTCAAACCTTTTAATCTTCCTACTGTTTGTTGCCCCATATAGAGGCAGGAGATTTGGCAGTTCATCTTCATTCTGCTAGGATTTCTTGGCTATGCTTCTTCCAGTGGGTGCTGCAGGAGCTCTCCAAAGGAAAAAAAAATAGAATTTTTTTGTCCAACAGACTCTGTATCCCACACCCATGAATAGTTTGGTTGCTTTTCTCACTGGGCCCACAGCATGGGCAGCTGGTGCATGGATGGAAGGAGAAGGAGATGTGAAGAGGTAGCGGAGGATAGAAACTGGCTACCAAGGACTTTGTTTTTGCCATAGGTTGAGCCAGCACTCCTGGGTGCCTGACTGCCCACACTCAGGGGAGCAAGCACACTTTATAAGTGGAGGAATGCAATAGCTGTGTGTTGTTGATGGTAGCTCAGATCCTGAGGCTGAGCCTACAGGCACAGACTGCTTGGCACCAGCATCTCAGGCTCAAAGACAAAACAAGAGGATGGAGGATTCATAGGGACAATTGTCACCTCTGTCAGGGAGGTGATGGCTGTACCAGTGGCTGAGAGCATAGCTGAATGTCTTTTGCTTGTTCATGTTTGCAGTCCCTTTCCACATTTCCTCTGCTTTCTGGCCTGGCTAGGACATGTCTCCTCACCTGATGCTCTGCTACAGTCTTTTCGCAGACTCGAGTGTCCTGCAGTCCAGTTCCCCTGACATCTGCCAGGCCTTCACTTCTTCTCACATCACCTTTGGGTGACCTTGTCTCTCCTTATCTCTTGCTTCCTCATAAAGTGATTCTGTTCCCGTCATCTTCAGCTGCTGCAGCTTGTTCTGCTTCCCCGTCCAGGGCCTTTGTCTTCTGTCCCAGCACACCTGGTCCCATGCCATGCCTTCCACCTTACGCCTTCTCTCAAGTCACCTGTGAGACACTTTTCCATCACCCAGCCAGCTCTTGTCACTGACTCTCCACAGACTGCCTCCTCCAACATCTCCTGACCTCAGCGAGGCATGTCTCCTCCCGGTGGATCCCTCCTTCCCACTTGTCAAAATTATTTGTGGAGAAAAGTGCTCAGATATAACCAAGGGCTCTGGTATGAGTCTTCTTGGTGGCTGTAGCTTAGCAACAGCATTCGTGGAGAAGTTCAAGGTGTGGGGACAGACATTTAGCAGATCCTGCAGGAATGAAGCCAAAGTGGAGGGAGAGACCTTCATCCCACCGACCCTCTTACACTGCTGCTCCTCAAGACTGCACCCTCAGACAGACCCACCCACAACTTCACTCCAACAACCAATGAACAGAAGCAAACACTCATCCACCACTCTCAGCAACACACTACTCTCACACTCTTACCCAAGCATTCACATGTGCACGCACGTTTCCGTATATACTTGTGTGCCTACACAAGCGTATCCACACTTAAACATCCCACAATTACATAAACAAACTTCCTCGTCTGTGTTTATATACACTTGTACACACGCTTACCCCCTCATCTACGTTTGTACACGTTTATACACACCCCACAGCCACCCACAGACCAGCATCAGTGCCTGACCCACCAGCACTGGCTCCTTGATCTTGGACCCTATTCAGCCCTTCTCACACATGTACAGTCCAGTGACCAAACTTTCATATACAACCACCTTTCATATACAACACATACAGACACACCATTTCTTCTCTGACCTGAGCCAAATACCCTCCCCTTTCCCATAAGACAAATCAATTCACACCCTGGAGATCCCACACCCTCCCTCTGCTCCCTGCCCCCATCCTATACTGATAAATGCCTTCATCTCCTGTACCAGCCAAAGGTTACTCCATACAAAGACCAACTCATCTCGAAGACATTGTGTATTCTCAGGAGAGCCAAAATCTATAGCACCCTCCCTCCCCTGAACACACAGAATGGTTCTACCCATTTGGCCTTTTAAGTCCAAAGGCTTTTTGTTTATTTACAGTAAGGCTTAGGGAGAAAAAAAGGGGAAGGGCATTTCAGCTTGTAAGAAACCCTGACTCCAACCCATGGCTCATTGTCTTCTTCTCTACCCTTGTTACACCTTCCACCGGGGTGCAGAGGCACCAGGAAAACCCTGAAGAATGTCAGGTTCAGGAAAGAGTTGTCCCATTTGTTCTTCCAGGTAAATCTCATCAGCCTGGCCAGAGTCCATGAGAGCCCTGGAAAGAAAGATGAGGCTTAGAGCAGTCAGAGTGGTCTCAAGTCAGGACCAGCACAGATAGGGAAGTTGTCTCCAAGACTTTCTGGAGAGCTAGAGAAAGGGTCAGCCATTCATGCAACTGGTATGTCTTAGCTGCAGTTTTCTTCCTGTTATTTCTTCAGGGTAAACTGCTTCTCATGTTTTTAAGGAGGATAACCAAGGCACTGGGATGCCTACTCTAGATCTTCAATGGCACATGTTGTATATGCCATTTTGAGGACTTTCTTGAGGATGATACAGTCAGATGGCAGCTGATGCCCTTCACAGCTGAGTGATCTAAGGATGGTTCATGCAATCTGGGGCTAACTTTGCTCTCTCCATACTGTCAGTGCCCATCACCTCTTCAGCTCTCCTTGGATCCAGTCTTTCCTTTACCTGGTACCACACAAACCTCAAGTGTCCCTTCCAAAGCCAAGAACAATGCCTTGCTTCTTCACAAGTTCATGGAGCCCTCTTCATCTCTAAGCAGAGTCTTGGCCTTGAATATTCCCTCGTATCAACCTCTCTTATTGCCTTTGAGGTGAAAAAGCACAGAGGGTGAAGTGGATTCCATGTCCCAATATCTCTTTCCCCTGCACCATCCTTTTCATCACAAATAACTGACATGCAGCTTGTTGCTCCTTTCACATGCCACGGGCTCCTCAGGGAGTGTTTTTTGCTCATTGCTTTCTCCTTCTCCACTGCTTAGAGGGTGTTGCTGCCTGTCATTACCATTCTGGGTGATCTTGCTGATCTCGCCCTCTTCCCCTTCGTTTTCAGTCTTCTCTGGGGGACATGCTGGCGCCTCCTGGCTCTGGATTCGGCGGGATGGCCTGAGGATGGCCCTCCGGAAGCCCTGCTTGAAGCGGTAGGAGAGGAAGCCGTAGATGATAGGATTGGCACAGCTATTGGCATATGGCAGCACCACCACAAGGAAGTAGACGCCAAAGAGGGACGGTTCCTCTGGCAATGGGCACACAACATTGATTATGTTGAGGACATAGAAGGGGAGCCAGCAAAGGACGAAGACAGCCACAACAGCCACCACCATGCGGGTCACCCTGCGCTCTGAAAGCTTGTGCTTGGAGGACAGAGCCCTCACCCGCCTGCCGGAGGAACGGACCTTCACAACAATAAGAAGGTAGCAGAGACAAATCACCAGCAGTGGCCCAAAGAACCCCAGGGTGGCAGTGTAGACAATGAAGCCAGCTCTCCACACTGAGGCAGGCTCTGGCCACTGAATGTGGCATGTGCTCATCCCTAAGGGAACATCTGAGAAGACCACCACGGGCAGCACCACCACGGAAGACAGCACCCACACAGTTGCGCTCACAGCCTTGGCCACCCGTGCTGTCCGCCATTTGGAAGACTTCCCTGGGTGGACCACGGCCAGGTAGCGATCAACACTCATCACTGTCAGGCAGAAGATGCTGGTGAACTGGTTGATGGCATCCACAGCCATCACCAGGCGGCACATGAAAGACCCAAACGGCCAGTAGGACAGGGCATTTTGTGCTGCCAGGAACGGCAGGCCCAGCATGAAGAGCTCATCAGCTAGGGCCAGATTCAAGATGTAGACATTGGTCACTGACTCGCTTACAGAATGCCGCAGGACCACGTAAATGACCAGAGAATTCCCAACCAGCCCCACCACGCAGACAATGAGGTAGACCAGGGGGATGAGGACACCGCTGACAACCACACCAGGGCTGGTGGTGGTGGAGCCGTTGGGGGTGGTGAAGCCTGCCCAGCTGCCAGAGGCATTCCCCTCCTCCGACACTGCTGGCGTGGGGAGGCTGAAAGCAGAAGTGTCCATAGCAGAGGCAGGGAAGAGGGTGAGGGACAGTGTCCTTGCAGGATCAGTTAGCAATCTGGAGGTGAGAGGAGGAGAAAAAAGCCATTGATACTGGGGACATGACAGCTGAACAAGCCACAGGTATAATCATTAATCATTAATCATGTGTATAACCTACGCATTAACTGTGTGTAGGTACGGACAGGCATGGGAAGTCGAGGTGAGTTTTCGGATGCTGGCAGCTACTAGAAGATGTAGGACAATATCGACCCCATCTGGCCTTGGGAGGCACTGTGGGCATGGAGGGACAAACAGGGACATGACAGCTGAACAAGCCACAGGTATAATCATTAATCATTAATCATGTGTATAACCTACGCATTAACTGTGTGTAGGTACGGACAGGCATGGGAAGTCGAGGTGAGTTTTCGGATGCTGGCAGCTACTAGAAGATGTAGGACAATATCGACCCCATCTGGCCTTGGGAGGCACTGTGGGCATGGAGGGACAAACAGGGACATGGCTCA